ATATCCAGAGTCACTCCTTAAGATTTCAAGGTTGCAGTGAACTGTTGTCAATATCCAGCTTTACCCAGTAAGGACTTCTGAGTGACAAGTTCTCTGCTCAGCTCACTTCGAAGAAAAGCCCGTCAGAAGCGGTGACAGAGCAGGACACGCTGCAGGTCGGGCAGGAGCAAGGCAAGGGGATTTAGCCTGTGTACACCAGAAAGCAAATCAGCTTGGATTTTTAAAAAATATTTATTTTATAGATTGCCTGATAATGCAGTTCCTTAAGACCTGGGAAGTGAAGGGACTGAGCCTGTCAGACTTCTGTCATCCTTTCTAAGCCGTGATTGAAATGACCAGGCTCAGAGGCATCTCATACATGCCTGTAGCCAGCGTTATTTCTACTGCTCGTTTAGCTGCAAGACTATTTGTTCATCTTCAGATTATGTTTGACATCTTCCTGTAAATAGTCTGGGTCATAAACATCTCGTGTGTCAAAGTCTGGGGATGTTTGTCTGGCGTCCTGGTTTGCATCTGTTTCTCATCCTGCCTCTTCAGCAGCTGCGTCCTTGGTGAGGGCTGCGTTTGAACTCGGAAGCTGCTTCAGACACAGGTTGGGCATTACCCAGTTAGCAGAGCGGGCTGGAAGATGGATATTCAGCTCCAGGACAGGAAAGCTGCCTCCAGAAGGGCTGGCACAGAGCAGGGAACCTGGGGGCCACAAGCATGTGGCTGCTGAGGAGACACGGGGCTGGGAACCCAGAAGCGATTATCTTCACAGGCCTTTTCCTATGCAAGTGGATTAGCATCTTGCCTCCATCTCAGAAGATATTCAAATGTGATTTGGGATTAATTAAGCTGCCAGACACCTGGAAGGAAATCCAGTAACACACGTACTTTCCACTTCAGTCATTTTAAAGCGGGGAGAGAGGAATATTTCACCAGCAAGACCTTTTGGGCCTAAGGGGTGAGAGCAACAGAAGACCAGCTGGGGAATTTCAGGGCAGAAAATGAAAGAAAAAAACAAATGTTGACAATGTACGTGTTGTAATTGTAGTCATCACCTTGAGCAGCACCATTCCGTGGTGTCCAGCAGCACTGGAAGGGCTGGTGAGGGTTCCTCAGAGGTGCTACACATTGTGCCTGTGACTGTGGGTGCCCCATCCCATCCCTGGAGGTGTTCAAGGCCAGGCTGGATGGGGCTTTGGGCAGCCTGGGCTGGTGGGAGGTGTCCCTGCCCAGGGCAGGGGTTGGAATTAGATGATCTTTAAGGTCCCTTCCAACCCAAACCTTTCTGTGGTTCTGTGATAATTGTGCATCCCATCTGCACTCAGCTGCCTGTGGTACCAGGATGGAGACCACTCCTCATCTTCAGCCACATGTTCCAGAGCCTTCTTCTGATAAAAGGGCACCCAGAGACCCAAACCTTATTTTCAGGCCACCCCTACATGATTTGATGCAGTTTGTATCAGTAGCTGATGAAGGCATCTGGAGAAATACCTCTTATCATGCTGCTATAATCTTCAGCTGTAAAAAAAGCTGTGGGTTTTCACTGATGTCTCATACCTGGGGCTCAGCCCTGGAGCCAGAAAGCCCTGCAATACTCGTGGTACCCTCAGCAAAATGAAACGCAGACGTGTCTCCTCCCCGGGCTGAAAGCATCTTGAGAAGGAGCACCGTGCTGCGTCCATTTGGGATTGCCAACAAGCACACTCAGGAAATTTCAGGATGGGCCTCAAAACCGAGCCTGTGCTATCGTCAGCCTCTCAGTCCTTTCAGGTGAGGGAAACATTTCCAAGCTTTCATTTCATACCTGTATTTAATGCATTACATCTCCCTGCAGGCCTCCTGCAGGCCGGGCTGTGATTAAGGAGGAGATAAGTGCCCCATTTATTGCTCTCCTGGTACCTCTCCATTTTCCTCTCCGCTTCCATGGGCAGCGAGCATCCCGCACGCGCAGCCGTGCCGTGCCCCGTACGAGTTGGAGAGGAGAGCAATAAACCCCAGCTCCAGCAGCACACGTCCCCCTCTGCCAAAACTTTTCTGCATCCTCTGCTTCTTCCTCTGCCTCCTGCCCGCCTGGGGGCTGGCTGGATGCTCTATTTATGTCCTTTCCAACACGGGCTGCCAATGTTAATGCTTTTATGAGAACTGAGATGGGCAAGAAGCAGTTTTCGTGTCCACTACGGACTCAGATTGCTCCGGACACTTGCCACAAGCAGGGCGCTGCTCTTTCCAGCGCCATCTCCTGAGCACTGCTGTTGACCACATGAGCAAACACACTTCCAGGCGCAGCGTTTACTCTGTTTGTTTTCGCTATTTCTAATGGCTTGACTCACGGCTTTCCTTGGGAGGGCTCCATTAGCCTGTAAATTACCGATCCCGCGAGGAGCCCATTAGCACGACGCTAAGCCAGAGTTCATTTCGTGGTAGCACCGGGCCCGCTGGCGCATCCCTGATGGTGATGCCCGCTGCGTGAGGAGGGAGAAATGCAAAATTAAAACCACACAAAACAGGGGAAGGACTGGAGACGTGAGACTTTTGACGCCTGTCTTGCTGGAAGAATCCACACAGCTTGCTACGTCTGTCATTTGGGAAGATAAACTCTTTCATTACGGGCTTCACATGGTCTCCAATGAGCAGCTAACAAAAACTTCAGCTGCTACGTGCTGCTCTGACAGCAGCTCCTGCCCAAACTGCACCAAATGCCTTGTCTGTTAATATCCCCAAAGGGAATGAGCCTAATGGGCTCTGAGGCAGGGGAATGCAGCAGGCTAAGTGGATTGCGAGCCGAGGGCCTCGTGGGCACCCTGCGTTTTTCTTCGCCTGTGTTACGGCACCCGTGTGGCCTGGGAGAGGGTGCGAGAGGGAAATTTCTCTCAAGATGCGTCATCTTCTAAAGGCTGCATTTCCCTCTGGCACCGGCTCTCTCCCATCTTCATCGCTGTACCGGGGATGGTTTTCATCTCCTGACATCACCGGGTGGATTTCCACTGTCCCAAGTGCAGGAGAAAAAACGTCTCCAAGCAGGAGGGCTGGCTTACCGGGTGGAAATGAGCCAGGCTCTTCAGCTCTGCTTGCATTTAGGTTCGCTGCAGAATTACCACCACTTGTCCTCCTTCTTTCAGCGAGTAACGGGATGGCAGAGGCTGGCAGCACAGCTTCTAGGTGAAAAACAAACAGAAGCAGCACGTCAGGGCTTTAATCACACCCGCACGGCGCGCTCCCCTTTCTCCTCCTTGCCAGGTGCGCCTGTTTTTGTACACAGACGCTCGTGCTCACTCAACAGCATCCCATCCACCTTGATTTTGGGGCCGGATCCCTGCTGGCTCCTGCAGGTGGGCAGCGTGGGGTTTCCTCCTGTGGCCGTGCTGGGGGGAGGCAGGCGCAGGGTCTCCAGCGCGCTGCAGCCCAGCCGAGCCGCTTGCCGTGGTGCGGCTGCCTTGGCCTCCTCCTTGCCATCCCTGCCTGCCTCGTTAGCATCGAGCTGTTCAAAGGGATGGAAATCAAATTATATTTAGGTCAGGGATGTATTTTAAGCAAAAATACCTGTTATATTTCAAGCATCTCGTGCAGAGGCTCTTTGTCGGCTGCTCCCAGGATGGCTGTGCACATACTCGCTGCCCTTAACGTGCTTCTTGATAATATAAAAAAATCTGATTTTCGCTTAGGTATCAATGAGGTTCATTCTCTCTCTCAGCCTCGTTAATGACGTTAAATAAGCAGCCACCTTCTGGCAGCTCGTTAGGTATCCCAGAGAGGAAAAAGCCCAGATTTTGCTGGGTAATTCTGGAAGAGGGTGGCCCTGGGTGGCCCGGCTGCTGTTGCTCTGCTCTCGGCTCGGAGTGACTTTTTGCAGCACCTCGTGACGCTTCCCTCCTCCAGGGCACCAAGCCCAAGCCCCTGCTGCGCCGCAGGACTCAAGGACTGGGGCTGACAACCCTAAAACCCTAAAAATTAACCTTGCAAGCCTCCCCCCCAGCCTGTCAGGCTCCCCAGCAGCACACCCTGCTGCGGCAGGCACCCAGGCGGGCAGCTCTCTTCAGATGTCTCGGGGAGGAGGTGATGCTGGTTTTCCGCCCTTCCTCCGGGGGATCTTCAATTCCCTCGGCTCCCACAGCGCTGCAGCCGGTTGGGTCTGTTTGAAGGAGGCCGTGACACGGGAAGGAAGAATTGGATGGACGCAGGCTCCCTGATGGGGGAAGCTGCTTTTCGGGAACTTTGGTGGGAAAGATTAAAGCCCCTACTTCATAGAAGCCTAGGCTGGATATATATGCAGTATCGGAAAGGGAAAGGGAAAGGGAAAGGGAAAGGGAAAGGGAAAGGGAAAGGGAAAGGGAAAGGGAAAGGGAAAGGGAAAGGGAAAGGGAAAAGGACCAAGATTTCTTCACTTGAGTTTATAAACCTACAGCTTGATTTTGCAGACTAAAAACTCCTGGTATGTTACGAGAATGAGTAGTTGCGCTGCATTCAGGGTTAGTTCTCAGATTCTAGCCTTGGCTGCTTGTAAACTGACCTGCTTTTCTCCAGGGTTAGCCTTGAATTCAACCACATTAAATTCTAGACAGAACTGGTAGAGAACTTTTGTTTTTCTGCTTGCTGATCACTGAATCTGGCTTATCAGCTCTGGCTGGCTCGGCATTTAGAAGCTCGATGCTGGATCCCAGAAGTCCACCTTATGCAACGGCACCACTTTAACCAGGAACAAAGGTCTGTGAGACCTCTCTCACTCACATACGCATCCCCCGAGGAAGGTGGAAAGGAATGGATCATGATCAAAAGGAGCCCACAAAAGCACCGCTCTCATGAAGAATCTTCCCTGCAAGTGCAGAAGGTAACAGGAGGCATTCAAGTCAGCTCTGGTGAGGAGAAGCAATGTGGAGCAGAGATATTATGTGGGATTTCAAATGGTCCTTACCCCAAAGGAGGGCCTCAGCTTGGTTGTTTTCCTGAATTGAGTAAATTGAAATGATAAGCAAACAACGTTTCTACCTAGACACACCACAAATTGGACGACAACAAAGGGAACGAGTTTCTATTTATTTATTCCACCTTAAAATGACTTAAAAGCGAATTTAAAATGCTAAAAAAAGAGGGAGATCAAAAGAGGGAGAAACTGAAAATAAAACCACAGAGGAGGCATTACAAGGTTAGCAGAACCTAGAAAGCACAGTTAGTATAAAACAGATTTACAGTCTCAGTGAACAGCAAATTGATGCTGCCCATGTAAACCGAGCAGCACGTAGTACTGCCCCTACCCTCCGACAACACAAACTTCTTTTATCCTTTTGTTTTGTTCTCTTGCCGGATAGGAAAACACGACAATTTTAAAAAAGCAACACTTTCAATTGATAGAGAAAACATTTTACAAATCTGATATTGCTCTGCAGGCACGGGTAAATGTCTTCCTGTGGGAAGAGAGCGTGCCGAAGCAGAATTTAAACTTGCATAATTCCTCTTAAAATGATGCAACCGTGGTGGTGTGACTGCAACCAGAAGCTAGCCATGCCATTTCTCTGCCCGCCACCAACCGTCTGCCACACCGGGGGCTGGACAGAGCGAGGCAGAAGCGCCAGACAGCACTGCTGGAAAAGGAAGGCATCTCCGGGTCAGTCGGAGCTCTCTGACAGCTCAGATGTGTGCAGGGCTTTTGTTACACTGACAAAGGGTGGCTCTGTGCGCTCAACAAGGCTTTCCCTCTGCGTGTTTCAAGTTGCCCCTGACCTTGAGGTGCTGAGAGTGACTAAGAAGAGAAGGGGAGCGAGGAAAGTAACAGGTGGCTGCCCCCGGGGCTGCTCAGCAGTAAGCGCTCCGTGGCCAGAGGGTTAAACCAGTGCCTGTGCGCAGGCAACCCTAAAACCCTAAAATTTTTACCTTGCAAGCATCCTCCCTTCTAAAACATGTCCTCCCCTACCTGTTTTGGCACATGCAGCCTTCCTGCTCCCCCTCTCTGGTGGGCAAGATGCCTGAGATTAGCAGTTGCAGGCCCCAGTGTCCCTGCGCACAGGGGAGGCAAGATGCATTTTAGCCTTCTGTTTTACAAGGGAGTCTCTGGCTTTAAAAAAATCATTAAAAAAACAAAAAAAAAAGCCCCGTGAGGAAGCAGTTAATCAAACATATCCTCAAACATGCGTCGCCCCATGGCGATATAAACCTCTTTTTCCTCCGGTGTCATCTGGGCCACCAGCTCGGGGCGCTGGCTCACTTGGCTGTAAGTGTGCGGGCGCCCAGCCACTGTGACCGTGGGGTCCTCTGCCACCACCTCGAACTCTTCATCCTCCTCCTCCTCCTCCAGCCCGTACGCCGTGGTGGCTGTGGCAGCGGGGCGGGGAGGGGATTCCTCCTCCGACTCGCTCGTCTCGCTCTCCGAGTCACTGGCGTTGGCGCCAGAGAGAGGAGCGGAGCCCCCGACGGTGACGGTTGAGGCAGAGGGCGTCTTCTTCTCGTGGATGAGCAGGGCACGCATCACCTCCTCGTTGTCATCCAGAGCCGCCCGGCCCTCCTCACGCTCCTGGAAGGCGTCCAGATCCCGGCCCCCTGCAGAGAGACAGAAGGGAGTGAGAGTTTTCTCGTGAGCGGAGAGGGTTTGTTGTGGCAGGGTGTCTGCAGCTCCCAGACTCAACAGATAAAATTCTTGCTCAAAAAGTGGCATTCTGAAGAAAACTTCTCTTAATCCTACTTTTTGAGAGACCTGCGAGTCCACCCAGCACCGAAAAACCTACGGGCTGTATGAAGAAAAAAGGAAGAAAAGAAATGCAGAGAACCTTATGTACAAAAAAAGGCCTAAAAAGTACAACAGACTCCCCGTGGAAAACTTTCTCTCTTGCACTGGAACAGGCTGCATCCAAACAGCTGCTGGAGCTGAGGTGGATGGCTTTCTGCCCTCATACATTAACACCACTTGACTTCTTTTCCAATCCCTGGGCTTTCATCGTTTGCGCACCGTATCCAGGCATTGGACATTCAAGCGTTTCCCTCCAGGATCGAAAATGAACCACATACTTTGTTCAGCTTGAGACAGAGAAATGCTGAGAAATGGGTAAACTAAGAATTAAGTTCTGCATTTAGCACAAAAATCCAGGGGAGTCTTTCCTGTGGTACAGTTAAGGCCTAAAGACCCATCCCTAACTTTATGGGACTTGTGTTTTCCCTGTAAATGAAGCTGTAGTAACAGGTGATGGCTACAACTAGTATCATTAATGAAAAAATCTTGAAAGAAAGGAAGACCAAAAGCATTGTGTTGGCAGCCTGGTGCTCAGCAGCCCGGGGCAGCTCCACAAAGTCCAAACTTTGTGGCTCGAAGTCTGGACTTTATCATCTCCTGCTTGTGAGAACAGATCCTGGCAGATCCATGCAGTGAATGCTTTCTGCCAGTGGTCCCAAGTTTTCTGCCTTCCTGTTTGTATCATACAAGAGTCACAGAAATGTGTTCCAGCACCAATTTCAGGCTATTTCCACCAGCTTCAATCTCCAGCAGTGCCGGAGGTTAAGCAGTGACGCCTTTGTGCTCCAAGGAGATAAACTCCCCCTCAACGTCCTTCAGCAGCATCTCAGAAACATTTACGCTGTGTACACCAAAAGTCACCTCAAGGAACCAATTTAGAAGGAGACGTGGACTGAATGTCTAGCTGAAAAGCTGGGTGAGAATTCAGCATGGCTCCTGAGTAGCAACTTCTGCTACAAAATGCAGGAGGAGGTTCCTCCCATCACCTCACTTTGTGTAATCCATTTGGAAAATGTTTTGAGATCCATTTGTTTTGAAGATGCTACATGCAAGCAACATAATTGGGTGTCTTTTGGCCATTTTTTCACATCTGTTTTCTTTTTTCATTGTCCCTATAGTACTCCACTCCTCTCTGGGTACTGGGAGAGGAATGATTTCAGGGCTTGTGCTTACACGTGATTCCCTTTTGCCATCTTCTCTCCCTTGGGCACCAACAGTGTCATTCTGTAATCCTCAGGTGACTTGGAAGATTTTATCTATCGATTCCCTAACACACCAATGATAAAGGGTCTCTATTTCCCATTTTTAGTCTCCATGCTTAAATAGCAAACTTAGCAGTGCAGAATGTTTCTTCTGGTCGCTACAAGATCTTGATTATGGTCAACCAACAACCTGACCTCCAATGTGAATGAAAATAAAAGCAAAGGCAACTAGAAACAGCTAGCAAGCAGTAAGGACTCACCTGTGACAGACAGTCCTACTGTGCTTCCAGAAGCTTTCTTTCTGACAGATTTTTCACATGAAACATTTTGAAAAATAATTGGCAAGAAGAATGCTGGGAGCACAAAAACACTGCCGGTAGGTTTCATAGGCTTCAGAGTCACCAAATGTTAATAAATTCTATTTTCCAGCAGCGTCTTTTTGGGGTTCAGCTTTCTAGAGGAAAGACCTCATCGAAAAGCAATAAACTCTCGAGGCAGAAGAACACCTATTACTAAGGGTACAGGAAGAGGTAACGGATAAGTAGCATTTTTGGAGTAACATGCAATTCCGTGGGCAGCTCAGCTTCACTGACCTACATTTCCATCCCGGATCTAATAAATGGGCATTTTTTCCATCTACCTACGCACAGGTGCTTTGCACAGCGGGGGGGAGCAGACAAAATCTGGAGTGCTGGGAGCAACAGCTGTAGACGCACGAGGGAACCTGTTTCTCCCAGCACTCCCAGAAGCAGAGCAGCACTTGTGCTCTGCGCGTTTCCTTACCGTCTTTGATTTCATCAGGGTCGTACGCCCCCTGCACCGTGCTCTCCCGGAGCCAAATTGGCCTCTCTCTGGCTGGCTTCCCGTCGCTGGCAGACCGGTTAATGTCCTCCTGGTCCTCCATGCTGATGACAACGTTCTGGGTATACAAGTCCTCGTAGGATGGGCCTTTCGTAGTCCACGCTTCCCGATGGTGTCCGCTTGTAACGCCAGCTGTCCCCGAACCCGTACCAGCTGCACGTTCTTTGCTAGGTAAAAGTCAGAGAGAGAAAAGCAGCACTCAGAATGAGCCCTTTCTTGGCCAGCTTTGTAACACACCAGATTATCTGCCTGGATCTGCAGCAAGAACTGCCATTTTCATGGTGCTACCAGGAATTTCTAATTTTTTGTATTGAGAAGGAAGATCTTCATCCCGAGGAAATCAGTGAAGGATCCCAGCAGTGTTCCTGTCCTGCTGCCAGCTGCTACCAGCTGAGCTGACAGGAGCTGTGAGCGCGCAGGGTTCACTTGCTGCTATCTGCCCAACAACCTTCCCTCCAACGGAGAAGCTGAAAACAAGGTTGCAGTTGGAGGCCTGAGCAACATGCAGTTTTTTAATTCAGCATGGATTTAACCGCTGCTTGATGAGCTCAGCGTGCCTGGTTTTTAGGTGTAAACTATGAGGGGGAAATACGGAGGTAGGTGATCATCCTTCTTCCCCGTATGCAAAGTATTGGTTTGTTCAGCCTCTGCTTGGTCCAGGGCTACTCATGACCTCCTAATAAGTGCGTTTGCTGGGATCTCTTCATAAAATACCTCACAATATTTGCGTTATCATGTGTCCACACACTAGCTGGTTCTCTCCCCCAGCCAGCCCCACCAGGAAAGCTTCACAGCAGCCTTGATTTTCTGGGCTGAAGGAGAAGACCCGTGCCCATGTGTTGCTTACATAAGCCAAGGAACCACACCGAGACCTTCTTCCCAGTGCCTGATTTCAAGTGTTGGTACCTTTCAGTTTTCCAAGACAGGCATGTGTTCTGTGAAAAGCACCGCTCTGCTTCCCACACAATAGAAATCTGTAACCAGCGTTTCCCTGACAATTTTATGTAATCCACTTCCCTCACAAGACACACAATGCAACTCTCCCCCAGCCTCTGCCTCTCCATGACTGCAGCGTGACAGCTGAATGCTCGGCAGTGCCAGGAGCTGCCTAATAATACTTCTGCACAGAGGTCCCCGTAAGTGTGTTTGAAATGGACTTCTTTCCTACGCACCACCATTTAGTAGCAAAACACTTCTTCCCTCACGTCAGGAGGGATTCAGAGATGAAGGTAACAGCTGTAAGAGACACCTACAATGTGAATTACTTCAAACCATCTCCGGCAACGTGTCACGTTTGCATGGAATAATCTAGACAGCTTCTATCTACTCTCTGACCCCAGCGAGCTTTGTAAGCGTGTCTCAACTCACTGCGCTGTTGGGGCAACTGCATCTTCACCGTACTGCTGGGAGTGGACGACCTCGAGGCTGCGTGACCAGTGGGATATCCCTCACTGCAAGAGGAGATCTTGCTATTCAGCACACCTGATCCAAAGGGTGAGGTTGAGCACCCTAAATCAGGCACCAGCAAAAGGCCAGGCGTGCGAGCTGCCATACAGGCAGCACAGAACAGGTGGAGGGAGTGCACTCTGCCAGTAATTTCTCTCTCTTTGATCCAAGATGCATTTTTCCCCTAGTTCTAGGCCACCCTGCTCAGACAGTGGCAGCTGAGGGCCCCAGATCTGGCTACATTTGTTCTGTTCTTTTACCCTGATGGAAATCGCTCACTAAGTGGTTAAGCTGCCTTCAAAGGTGACATAAATAATCCTTGACATAGCTGAGGTATGGCCCGCAGAAACCACACTGTGCAATGGGAAAACAACCTGAAATCTTCATCTCAATCCTGTCCAGGCTATTAATAAAAGGTCTTGTAAAATGGGGATAACTCCTTTTGTGCTGTGTCTGAACTAAAGCACTTTTTCGTTTGGCTGCTCTTAAGAGCTTCAGCTTCATAGGGAACAACCCATGGTCCTTGATAGCATGACCACAGAAATGAATTCTGCAGAGATTTATGTTCTATAACATCATGTTATCCTGACATAAGAAAATGGAGGAGGTATTCAAATTCATCTGTTTTAGGATACCACTGGAGAATGGCTCGGGTAAAGTGTGTGCATTTTGAAACCTGTGGTGCTACCTAATGCTCTGCCAAGGTTACGGGAAGTAACTGCCTCCTAGAAAAGTGTAAATGAAGATGTGACCAGCCACGTTGTCAGGTGAGTGACAGCTACAAGTTGTCAGTGAGGCTGGTTAGAGCTACCACTCTCCTGGAAACACGAGTTGCTTGTGCCTCTGAAAAAAAAAAGAAGACGCAGGCACTTTGTGACCTTTTCTGTCTGTTTCAGGAGCATCGAATGCCAGTTTCGGCAATGATTTCAGAAACTCGAGGCTCCATAAAGTGGAGAGAGAATAAATAACCCAGGGTTTGGCACTTTTTAAAAAAAAAAAATCTCACAGCAGCACTTTCATGCAATTAGCTGCTTTGAATTAATAAGCGTTAATAAATAATTAAATCATTGTATGTGCTGAAGCAAGTTGTGCTCAAGTAAGGATTTAAAAATGCCTATTTATTTTGTCATTCCCTGCTCAGAGTAATTAATCATTTACAATGTTTTTTAAGTATTTAAGAGTCAAGCAAGTGGGTGCTGCTATTTAATCGTGGGACTGCACCAGGCTTCTGCTGTGCTCCTTTCCTGTGCGCTGAGATAAGGTAGCCATGGGAAGGCTGAGAAATGACCCTCTTTTTGGTGGGGTTATCCCGGTTCTACTACACGAACTACAGAAGTGAGTTTTTAAAGCAAAATTTCGTGATTCAGCTTGGGAATAAAGGCTTCAAAGCCTCCCCATATCAACAAAGACATGTTGAATGACCTTGGAAAAATCTCTTCCCCTCCCTACATGGCTTCTGTTTTTCTCTCAGAATGATGAGCAAAATCAGCTATATTCTTGGCTAGAAAGAGACAAGTAATTTTTTATTATATTAATTAGAAACTGTCCAGCATTAATATATGATGAACATTCTCTCTCAAGGTTAGCCTGAACGTAAAAAAAAAAAAAAGTATACTGCTCGCTCTCCCATTAACAAAAGCCAAGCACCCCAAGGAACTGTGGGAATGCTTCTCCCCCCATCCCCATGGTACAGATTTTTTTCTTGTGTGTTTAATTATTTTTTTTAAAACAGAGAGAAGTGCATCACATTTCACCAGAGCTGACAAAACTGACAGCTCCCCACATCTTTCTGCATTATTTAAACATCATCTGTTTTTGTACAGCTAGGAATGTTCTGAAGGAAAGTGTCATTTCCCATGGGCAGGAACATTTTAAACATTTTCTGACTATAACATGGTCTCCCCCCAAAAACGAGTTGTGTAACAAGTAGGAGAAAATCAGAAAAAGAAGTTTTGTTATATATGGATTTGAAACATGAAATGTAGAATGCATTTTGCTTACTTTCAAAAGCTGGGTGGAAACAAAAGGAATAAACAAAAGGGCTTGAGAGAAAGATGAGAGTGAAGCACCTTGGTGCAGAACAAGTAGGACCCGAATGTAGCCAGGGGTTGCAGAAGATTTGGGAAAACCTCACGGAGCAGAGGAACGTGCTGTGAGGAAGCAGTGAGAGAAAGCAGGGCCCATTCCCACCTCTGCTTCAAGGCAGGGATCTCTGTGGGTTCTGGTTCGAGGATTTCATAGGCTAAGTTAACATCTTCTGTCTCACGAAGCAGCGCGTAGATGGGCTCGATCTGCTCGTTAAATCTTGCCACGAGTGTCCTTGCATCCTTTTTGGGCATTGCCGACTCATCTTCTTCCACTTCAGTCTCACAGAAAGTACAGCGGAAAGTTCCTGAAATGAAAAAAAGTTGCTAAGCGTCAGAAGAAAAGCAACAAGGCCAGCTCTTTACGCAGCGTTTTAAACAAGGGCGCTTCACCGTTTTCTTTCCTCGATGCTAAATAGCTTTTCTCACTCTGACAACCCCTTCCCACACGCAGTGCACCTGGTTATTAAGCAGCCAAGAAAGCAACAAGCACTTTGATGTCACCCGGTGATACCCAGCTCGGGGAGCAGCTCCGTGCTCTGAGAAGCCCAGGTGTGTTGCAGTACCACGATTGAGACATCTCCTAATCTCACGCCCTTTCTTGCTAGACGTTTTAAATGAGCTAGAAAAGCAGGTCAAACAGAGGCAACCAAAACGGTTGCATGGCAATACAGTTACAAAAAAAAAACCCTACTGAACTCACAGCAGGCCTTTCGGTTTCATCGCTCCATCTGCGAGCAGGAACCTTGGGGAAGCGCTCGCAGCAGGCCCTCACCATATGGTCTGCAGCGAGGGGAGCAGCACAGTGCACTGCCCTGTCCTCACACACGCCGGGCACAGCTACGTGGCTACAAATGCTGCGCTCCCACCTCGGGATTTCTCTTGGCCCTGTGTCATTTCTTTTTTACATATCCTTCCCGTGGCACCGACACACACCTGGTATCATCTCTCGGCACCCTAATGAAGAAAGGGAAAGGTGTCTTTTTACTAACAGGGAGCCCGAGGATAGGTTGTGTCAGGGAATCGGCATGTTTCTGTCTAACCATCAGTGTCAGGAGCCGGCTGTATCACTGACACCAGGTACAAACACAGCTGGAAGAATGGGGTTGGCCCAGGGCACGAGGTAACGGGACAGGCTTGCAAGCCAGGGCTGCTGGTGTCTCGTCCTGCTGCCTGCACAGATTTGCTAGTCTTGTCGCTTTGTTTTTCAGTGTATCTCCTCTGCCTGTAACAGAGCGATAAAAACAGACCTAGCTTCTTCGCTGGTGGCTGTGAGGGCTAGACAATGCTTCCACAGTTCTTGGAAAACGCATAAAGGCACTGTTTATGACAGGAGGCAGAATCTGTTGCCTCTCACCACAGTCTGTAGAAATGCAATTTTCTACCTTGGCACCATCTGAAACAGCTTTTGCTCATCGTTACTTGCAAATTAATCCGAGTGTGTTGTCTCTGTGGAGTGTAACACGTACAAACTTCCTGCAAAGAAGTCACTTCACAAAGTTTGTCACATCTCTGCAACAGCCAGAGCACCCAACAACAGCAGCACGTGCCATGAAGGGTAAGTAAATACGGCGCTCTCCTCTCCCATCCAAGCACAAAACTCTGTGCTTACTTCTTCATCCTGCAAAAACTGCCGCTATCGATTCAAGAACGGGACAATTATATAAGCTGTCAGCCCGGCAAGAACTGAAGCCAAAGTTTGGTCTCCTTATCCTGCATCTGAAGCTATCAGCATGACAAATTGGCACAAGTTGAATCAATTGAAAATAATTAGCACATCTCGCTTCCCATAATGGACTAAGGGAACAAACCCAGGTTAACAGAGAAACCTCTCCTCTTTTTACAACCCCACCTCACCACACACCCCGAAGTCCTGCTGTAGGTTCCTGAGACAGCTCCTGCTTTTCTCATGTCCCTTTGTGAACACTAAGTATTTGCTAAAGACTAAAAGCAGGGGGAGAATGGTTCCGGTTCACAGGACCAAGAAATCAGACAATAAATACAGCTCTAATGGAACAGAACTCCTGGAGCTCTCGTGGATCTGCTGCAACTTCCCCCCCTCAGGGTTCTTCACAAGCAAAAAATAAAGTTAAGAGATGGATTATGTAAAGAATCGGGGAATGAGTGAAATGACAGGCTTCCTCCATTAATATGCTGATTTTTTGGAGGTGATGCAGCATTTCATAAGAGGCATATGTTATCAGAGAACCGAGGAGTTGGCTTGCCATGGCAGATGGCATTTACGTGTTGCGAACCTCTTCTGCTAGACATTAAGAGGTCGCAAAATGTCACCAGAGCTTTTATGTCACATCAGCAGTGACACATTTTCCTCACAAATGCTTACTGCATGTGACAGACGTGAAGCGGAGCCCATCCAAAGGCTGAGAATGGCCGTGTGCCCACTCCTGGGATGTATTTCTTCCCTCCGCCTGGACACAACTGCTGGTTTGCCACGCAAATACGCTGCCCGAGCCAGGGCAAGCAGGCAACCCGGAGCTTCCCTGCACCTTGGACGTATCAACACGGAGCACGTGCATCCCCTTCTGTCCACACACACCTCGCTGTTCCACGCTCAGGCACCCAGCATGTTAAAAACCAGCCTTTTGAGAGAGATCTCCTCATCTGCTCCCTCAAGGATTGAAACACCGGTACTGTGGCTCCCCAAGGCGTGCTACGATTCACGCAGCTCAAGCTCGGAAGCACAGGGCCAGGATATCTGCAGCTAATTCCTAATAACTGGATTTCACTCGAGAGAAGGAAAAGGTCAACCGCCCACATGCCTTACACGCGGTGTGTCCAAACGTGCGTGCTACATCTGCTCGAATTCAGCTGCGTGCACCACCGCAACGCTGCCAGAGGAGCTTGCCCAAGGGAAGAGACATCAGAATTAAAACCGGTCCCACCGTGTTAGTTTGGCTCCTCACCTATGCACACATTTAACTGGAACTGAATGTTAAAGACACAAAGAAGGTCTTCTGCTGGATCACAGAATGGTTTGGGCTGGAAGGGACCTTGAAGCCCACCCAGTTCCACCCCCCTGCCAGGGCAGGGACACCTCCCACCAGCCCAGGTTGCCCAAAGCCCCATCCACGTTGTGCTGCCAACTGTACCTCACCTCACCTCAGCCAGCTTGCATCTTGTTAACCCTTCAGGTGTATTGACAAGCTGCCCTCCAGCTTATCCCCTCCACCTTCACTTTGCAAATAAGCCACCCATTCTTCTTCCCCTTATAAAAGTGGTCACCCATTCATTTGATCACTTTATCAGGCTCACTGCACACTTCCTGCAGTTTGCTCTCACCTTTCTGCTACTCAGGAAAAGCTGCAGCGCACACAACTCTCCAGATGAGACCTCCCAGAAGCCCAGTGGCATTAGTGCTTCTGGGATAACTGCTGAGACCTTTTAAGATCATGAAAGTGCTGCCTCAATTATCACAAGATCTCGCAATGCTTCCAGACCTTTCCTCCTCTGCGCTTCCCAGCTGATGAGCTCCATGTTCACAGGAGAGGTTTGCAGGAGATGCTGGGTACACGACACTGTACTTCACACTGAAACCTTCCAGCTCATTTTTATTACTCCAGCCTTCAGCCTCATCCAGATCTTTATTCTCCACTGCAACCACAAAACATTAAGGTAATTTATTTTCAAAATCTCCTACAAGCTTCTTTTAGAAGAAGCATTATTACCATTACATGGGGGGTGAGCTAAGGCACAGATGGCAAAATTTCAGCAGCATCTGCAGATTTGAGCGGCACTTGGTTTGTAATGCCTGAGAAATGCTTCTCGGGAACTTCTGTTCCTGCAATAAGCACGCAGGGCTTTTACCCATTATCTTCCAGGCTCCAGAATCGGGCATCTCAAATGAGTTAGGAGAAACTGTTAATGACAGCCTTAGAGAAATTTACCTAGAAATGACCAGTCCAAGACCAGACAGAAGCACAGCTGACCTGAAGGGTCATCAGATCACGCTGCTGTGGCTACTGGAGCCATCTTCTTCCAGTAAATGGCTGATTTTTACACGTTTTTAGTTCTTCTGCAGCAAACCAGAGAAAAAACATTATATGCACACAGCTCATCGTTCTTACTGAGCAAAGCACAATTGCTTTGGAAAAAAAATCCGTGGTAGGGAAAATGTTTTAGGATGCGCAAGCAGCATTCATTTCCGCACTTCCTATCCCCGAGTGCTTCGTGTGACGTTGGAAAAGGACGACTGAAGATCTCGAGGAAAGGTCAGAGCTTGCTAGGTTCCTACCAGCAGGGAACCAGACACGGGCCCATCTCCAGGTGATGCTGTGCATGGTTATCAGCAGGTGTGGAGCCCCCTGCTCCGCACAGCCCCCTGCCACCTGACTGAACGGAGCAGCAGAGAAGATGACAAGCTGCTAGCGCGGCACGGGTCGGCTGCAGGGGGAAGCAGGGTGTCTGGGCAACCTGCTCCTGCTTGATCAGCCTGGACTCCAGAGCCTCTCACTTCTCAGACCTCCCTGTCCAACTTTCTTTCCCTGAGTGGCTTTTTCCAGTACCAGCCTCTTCCCACTCCCATGGGAAGGGAAGGGAAGGGAGGAAGGGAAGGGAAGGGAAGGGAAGGGAAGGGAAGGGAAGGGAAGGGAAGGGAAGGGAAGGGAAGGGAAGGGAAGGGAAGGGAAGGGAAGGGAAGGGAAGGGAAGGGAAGGGAAGGGAAGGGAGGAAGGGAAGGGAAGGGAAGGGAAGGGAAGGAGGAAGGGAAGGGAAGGGATCAGTACAACTCCTATCCCCTCCCTCCACAACCAATCCATGCTCATGTAATGGGAGTCCTTAGCACCCTAAGTAATAGGCAGTGCTGTCAGTACAAATTATAATTAAGTTCCTTTCATTTCGCATTGATTTTCAGGATTTAGAGGACTACTTAGGACAGCACCTAAAGGCACTTCCCTCCCGAATCGTTACAACCAGAAATAGTAGGCTGAGTGGCTACAGCAGGCCTGGATCGTTATTTGCCACAACAACCTCCACGTTCGGATGTAAGGACATTCACCTCTGAGGGATTAAACTGAAGCAAAGAGAGTTTTAGGGACTTTAATGAACCAGGCTAGTAGCAGAGCTGATTGTTAAAACAGTTGTTGGTTAACTGCATTAATGCTGATGCAGATTAGGCTTCAGCAGCTGCTCATCTTTAGCGACTCCCGGAGTTGACGGGGCTGCTCAGCCTTCATTAAAGCATCCTCAGCATCTCAGTGAGAAACCAACTCCTCGTGTCTGAGAGGGAAACACCTTCCTGCCCCAAGGAAAGATGAGTCTCCTCTCAATTTTACCTCCTAGCCATCCCTGG